CAGCAGTCCGTGCCTCTGTGGAGGGACAGGTGAAAAAACAAACTCTAAACTGAATCAATACTCATTTTTTTTCTTTTTTGTTTGTAGATACAACAATTTATTTTAAAACATCACATGTAGTGTAATGGTAATTTGTCATGGCCATTGTGTAATTAATGAATGATCTTCATATTTTCTGTTGGTATATGTAGTAAATATATGGTTTGAAAAATAACACTTTTGATGTTAATGAATCCTTTGTACACATCCCATGAAGCTTGATCATAGGTATGGAGCTTTTTCCCCATTTGTATTTAACATTTGTTGAAATTACAGTTACAGGCAACACTTCAACTCGAATAAATGTAATTACCAAATGGGTTTTAAGACATTTATTATACATGTATCTACTATTTAAATAATTCACATTCACAAAGACATATCAGCACACTGCGAATACCCAACAGGAGAAATTAGTAAACTCTCTACAGCTAACTATGGGTTGCCATAACCGCGGCTATCCCCGAATCTAGTCAGTAGATGCTTAACAAGCGTTAGCATTTCATTAGCATTCAGCTAGTGGACTTTCTTCTAGATGTACATTTTTGTCCCAAACTTAGTTAATAAAAAAGACATCGAAACCGCAGATCTGTCACTAAGACATCTTTAGTATATATTACTGGACGCACACATGTAGGATTAACAATGAAAACGGGTCACTCTATCCTGCCTGTAACTATTTCGCCAACTGCTGCAGCTTTAACAACTCAGTGAGAACACGGGGTATAGGCGTGTCCACAACAAGGGCTCTGATCCGCAGATTTATTCGGTCCCGATAAGACTAGTAAGTCCTTCAAAACAGACGGGTTAGAAGTCCAGGTGTGTACCTTAACATCTAGCATCACTTTTATCAGACAATTACAAAACAAAGTTTTCTGCACTGTGCATCAACATCGGGCATGGCCAAAAGGACACGGCCATGGAAGGTAAGGACGAGCGATAGCCTACTGTTCCTCCACGCTGCATTAGCTTGAGCGATGGCTACTTTTAAAATGTCTGAGAAATTCCTAAAGTGATATTACTTTTCACCCGTGTATTACAAAATGAGTGATAGTTTAAACATTTTAAGTGAACTAGACACATGCTATTTTTACGCAGTCAAAGGTATTCTATACGGATGACACATAGACATTGTTTTGGTAATAACCCCCTTTCCCAGAGGTAGGCCTATACACCAATTTATAGGCCTACCAACAACTATTAGTGACCAAAGGTTCACTCATTCAGGTCAGGCATACATTTTGTTCATTTTTCTCCCCTAGAATGAAGCAGGGACCTTTGATTTATACTATATATTTCCTGAAACTGCTTATTACAATTTATTTATTACAATAAATAAATACAGATTCACATCAGGTCTTCCATGATGCACAGTCTGTTCTTCAGTTTGTTGGTCCCCAGTGTATATTTTGCACTGTGCAAGTGGAGGCTTCTGTAGGGCATCTACATCAAAAGCATATAAGGGATGCTGTTTATTTTGAAGATGGAGATACAGGTACCTAAACATGATTATTGTAAAATAATGTATAATCAGTTTATTACAACACTTTAAGCTAATGTTCATGTAACTAATATTCCTAATTTTATTCAATGTTCTTTGACAGAGAAATTTGTGGTATCGTGCTATTGCCAGGACACAAATCAAAGACATAGATGCCACAATCATTGTCCATTCTGCAACTACAGAGTGTTAGCCCGAACTGCAACCTTCAGGAGATCTTCAACAACTTCATGCACTGCAAAAATGAACCATCTAGATGCAAGTAAAAATTACCTAATTTGAGAAGGTAAAGACTTAAAACAAGGTAATTTATCTGCCAGTGCAGTAAGATTATTACACTTAGTAAGATTTCTTGAAATAAGAAAAATGTTCTAGGCATCAGAAAGGTGAAACATGTCTTGAAATGAGTGGTAAAAAACTCATTTCAAGCACTGTATTAAGTCAAATAAACTCAAAATAAGATGTCCATTCTTCTTTCAGTTTTTTTCCTTTCTTAATTTTAGTGAAAGGTTCTTAAAAGCAGAACCACTATACAAGACAATTTCACTTAATTCAAGACTGTTCATTATTAGCTTATAAAGTGAGACAAAGCATTAATACGATAAAGCAAACAGATCATTGTCAACAACAATTTATTTAGATTTTGTTTTGTGCCCTTTAACACACTTGTTGCTTTTCAAAATATTACATATTCTCAATTACGGAAGCATTGCAACAGAAAACATGTGATATAACTTTGAGGTAATTATGGTTATGTGTCATCGTCACGGAATCTGATTACCTGACACTCAGATACAGAAAAAAGTATTAACAGTTTCAAATTTTCTGTTCATTCCACCTCCTGTAATGTTTATAAACCTAGTTAACCGTCATTGGCCTCTTAACTTTTTAGATCCAACATTTGCAGTACAAAATATGCTTTGATGATTAAAGGAACAAAGAACAAGGCAATCAGAGAATACTTGAACAAAAAGGAAGAAAGAATTTTTTCTTGACAAACTCAATGCACACTACTATCCCCCACCCTCATACACTCGATTTAGAGTACCGCGACAGTGAAACTGGTGCACAGTGAACACCACTACTTCCCAATAAAATCCTTCCATTCTGTCATGGCTTTTTTGTATGAGGTCGTCATGTCTTGCTCATGAATAGAATCCTGTAATATTTCTGTCTGAATGACTGAGAGGAGGGTTGCCACACACTTTGGATAGGTGAGATGCAGAGTGTAGTAGTAAGCCATCAGATAAAGCAAACCTTCACAAAGGTCTTCTTTGGCAAATGTGGTGATGGGAGTGGTTCCAAATGTGACAAGACAGCGGGACCCATCAAAGAGCAAAACAAGTGCAGAGTGTGGTCTCTTCTGAAGGTAGATGGTGGGATCTTCTGTTGGCTAATAAAAAGAAGAAACAAATCTGAGAAATTTCTTTAAGGGTACAACAAAAAAAACATAAGATA